CTTGAGTTGGAATTCAAATTAGAGTTTGGTTAACACAAATATTTGGGTCAACGTTATACAATTTATTCTTATTTGTCATATGGAGGGGTTGGACTAAACTATAACCTATTCTAGCCCCCACTACATCCGCCCCTGCCTGTTTTGAACCAAGTGCCATCTATGTTTAACTCACGCAACCCGTACATATCCACCATGGAGTGGAGAATACTTTAAAAACTAATTGTATCGGGCCTCCCTCCTGCTGCCTTGCCACCATGTCATTTTTATCTATGGGAAAAATTCATTATTCATGTGTATTGTTTACACTAATTCAAAAATTAGGTACATAGTTTCAATTTTCAAAATTCAAGTATATATTTAATCAATTAAAAATATTTATTAAATAAAGATAACAAAGTCACATTTACACGATTAATAGTCACATATTCATAATTATAAGTCACAAATTTATTTACTGGTCACATATCATCAAATTAATATGTTACAAATTATTTTGAGGTCACAAATCAAAAATTTTATATGTCACAGATTATTTTTTAGTCATATATTATCAAATTTTGAGGTCACGGATCAAATCATTGAGGTCACAGATTATCAAATTTTAAGGTCACAGACCACATCATTGGTCACATATGCCAAACACTTTACTCCTGATCCTAATCCACCACTAATACTTGATCACAAAGTAACTAAATAGTTGGTTACAATCACTATTACACCCCGCTCCCGCCACAACACCACCACGATCACCTTTAACAACAAAAATACCACCAAAACACAACAATTGACTGCACCACACCACACTAAGTTGACAGTGCACCACCATCGACCACCGCTAGCAAACACCACAAATCTCAAAAACACCACTTCAATACCAACAAAACACCGTAGACAACAACAAAAAGACCAAGGGACTCGAAAGCAGCAAGTCACTGAGGTCACCAACACCACCCACTCCACCATCCTACCTAAATCCCCCGCACCACCATCACCACACCGTCACCCACTAAGGTCACCACACCACCAACATCCACGCTGCACAAAGAAGCTGCTGCATCGTTGCCACTACAGTACCATCGTCTACTACCGTCGCCACCATCAACGCCTCACCATCACCTCCAAACAAACCACCGCCAAATCCCCATCGTCGCCTACTCGAAAAACCCAAAAAACCACCATCGCGTCAGTTGCAGTGTCGAAGAGAAATAAGGTAAAGACGGGCCCAAACCACTTCTACCAATCGAAAAAGAGAAGGAGAACTGCAGCATCACGACGCTGCGTTCACAATAGCGTCACCTCCCCACGCTGGCATTGGTACTGGCGCATTCCTTTGTCCCCGTTGCAGTGTTTGAATGCGCCAGAGGCATCGAAAAGAAAGAAGCCGATGACGAGAAGAGAGAAGGAAGATACAAGACTGTGAAATTTGAAAATGGGTGAAATGATTAGGTTTTTAATTGAATTGGGTGGGTTAATTATATATATAATACCTGATTTTTGCATATATAAATTTCACCCAAAATTTTGAATTCGAAAGTTTTAGTACCTAGTTTTCTGTAATTTCCTTTAGGCAAAAATTCACAATTCATATGTATTATTTACACCAATTTAAAAATCTAGTAAATAGTTTGAAGTTTCAAAATTTAGGTATATATTTAATTAATTAAAAATATTTATTAAATAAAGATAATAAAGTCACAGTTACACGATTAATGGTCACAAATTTATTTATTGGTCACATATCATCAAATTAACCAGTCACAGATTATTTCGAAGTCACAAATTAAAAATTTTGTAGGTCAGATTATTTCGAGATTATAGATCAAAAATTTTATAGGTCACAGATTATCAAATTTTAAGGTTACAAACCAAATCTTTGATGTCACAAATTAATTTTTTATCACAGATTATCAAATTTTAAGGTCACAAACCAAATCGATGATCACATATACCAAACACTCCACTTCCGAATCCAGTCCACCACCAATACTTCGTCACAAAGCAACCAAATAGGTGGTCGCAATCACTATTACACCCTGTCCTCACCACAACACCACAATGACCACCGCCAACAACAAAAATGACCACCAAAACACAGCGACCGACTGCACCACACCACACCACACCACACCACATCCACAGTGCATCACCACTGCTAGCAAACACCACAAACTGCAAATACACCACCACATCACCTAAACACCATAGACAACAACAAAAAGACCACTAAAGGGGACTCGATAATAGCAAGTCACTAAGGTCACCACACCACCGTTCTACCTAGATCCTCTACACCACCATTACCACACTGTCACCCACCAAGGTCACCAACACCATCCACATCTACACTACACAAAGAAGTTGATGTAGCATCGTCATCATAGCACCATCGTTGACCGCCACTCCTACCATCAACAGTTCACCAGCACCTCTAACCAAACGGCCGCTAGATCCCCATCACTGCCTGATTGAAAAACCCAAAAATCCCTCCATTGCGCCGATTGCAGTGTGGAAGAGAGAGAAGGTAAAGATGGACCCAAACCATTTCTGTAGATTGGAAAAGAGAAGGAGAACTGTAACATCGTGACGCTTCATTCATAGTAACGTCGCCTCCTCACGCCAATGCTGGCACCGGCACATCTCTTCGTCGCCGTTGTAGTGTTTGAATGAGTCAACGATGTCGTAAAGAAAGAAGCCGGCGATGAGAAAAGTGAAGGAAGAGACGAGATTGTGAAATTTGAAAATGGGTGAAATGATTTAAGTTTTTAATTGAATTGGGTGGGTTAATTATATATATAATACCTGATTTTTGTATAAATAAATTTCACCCCGAATTTTGAATTTGAAAGTTTTAGTACATGGTTTTCTGTAATTTCCTTTTTATCTAATCATTATATGATTAAGCCCCTATTTGTCATCCTTTAAAAATTTAAATTGTTTGCTACAATATCATTTTCCAGCATAATTTACACAATAAAATATTTTACACCTAAATAAATAAAAATTTGAAAAAATTGCAGCAACGGTCCTTAACCTTTTCAATTTGTGCCACTAACGGTCCCTAACCTTTCAGGAATGTGCATTCTGCAGTTCAAATGGACATAATCCGTCCACTTTTCTGTTAGTTTTATTTTGACCAAATTTAATAAGGGTAAAATGGTAACTTCAAAATAAACACAGCAAATAAATAAACAGAAAACCCAAAATAATGTGAAAGAGTAAGAAAATAAATATAAAAAAGGTTGTCTTTTTCCCCATCCCAACCCTGTCCCCAAAAATGGGTAGTCACCGTCAACACCACTGTCAGCCAACTTCAACGCCACCACTAGCAAATAGAAATTTAGCAAAAAATAATTAGCAAAATCTCCCCAATGGCGACTCACATTTCGACCACTGTAACCCAATAAAATCTGACCACAATAAAATTCGACCATTGTAAAACCAAATTGTGCAACTCGATAGCCTTTCAATTTTGGTAACCCAATAAACTTTTAGCCCCAAATTTTAGTAACCACCAGTTGAAAGCTTTCATCGAAACGGTGTCAGAGAAGAATAAGAGGAGAAACGATTTTTCGCGAGCGCACTGTGCGCAAACTGGAAGAATGGGTTGCATAATCTGTTGAAATTGGTAGGAACATATGGAGTAAATATGTGTGCCATGACATAGGGATGTTGGGCAGGGATGGCAGCGACCATGGGCACTATCGTCCTGGCTAGAATATCATTTGAATGTTGCGTGTTCGATGGGTTCGAAGAACAGCAAAGCAGATTCCGATTGTGTGTATTTTTTGAATGTGGATTTTTGTAGAAACTTGCATAATTATTAGATGATGGATTTAGGGATGTTGTGGTGGCGGTTAGTACAAGCAGTGTTTCTTTGGAGGCAGAGGCGACTATGGCTGCAGGTTTAGTTTTCAAGAGAAGGGAAGGGTGGGATGGGGGGTCTTCCATGTCTTTTTCTTTTTTAAAATTTTTATGTATATATTTAATTGTTTATAATAGAAAGATATAAAGTTACCATTTTGCCTTTTTAAAAAATAAATAAAATGTGGTCAAAATAATTTTTTTGGTCAATTAACAGAAATATGGATAGATTCCGTCCATTTGGACTCCAGATACACATTTCTGAAAGGTTAGGGACATACACATTTCTGAAAGGTTAGGGACCGTTGGTGATACAAATTGAAGGTTATCATAAAGTTTGCGAAAATTGAAAAGGTTAGGGATCGATGCTACAACTTTTCCTAAACTTTTTTATTTTTTAACCACACATTCTCTAAAAATACTATTCAATAACTCATTATTCTCAAATAAATTTTATCAAACATACCCTAAAATTATTTATAAACATGGCTTCGCTGAAGTTTGACACATGAGATCAAATTAATTTCATTGGTTGCTCTAGTGTCTAATTCTTTAGTATTTTGGTTTGAGGATAACTTATATGACTCAATTCTTCCTTCAGATGTAACACAAATATATTAAGTTTCCATATTATGCCTATGTTTGTTGTAGATTAAGATGAGATTTTAAATCCCAAATCAAATCAAAAAATTTATAAAATCTGAATTTTTTATTCACATATTTTATTAATTTTTATTAAAATTTACTATAAAATTGATTTTAATCTGCGGCTAAATCTCTTGCCAATAGGCGAACTCAAAATCCGGGGTCATGTGGCCCTGGCTAGTAGCAGTGCTGATTAAGAGGGTGGTTAAACTCTTTTTTTTTTTTTTATGAAAAATATATTATATAATATTAGATTGAAGGAAAATATATGGTTGAAAAAATAATTTTTTTTTATTTACGAGTAATATTATTTTAATGAAGAACACGTGATTGAGAAAAAGAGAGAAAAAAACGTATTATAAAAAAAAAAAAGAGAGAGAATTAAACAGAGCCTAAAGAAAAAGTAAAGAAGAAAACATCCAATGAAAAATCGACACGTCAGTTTGACCATCCCGTAAAGTATGAACACTCCCATCCAATCCAATCTCACTGCTTTTTCTCTTGGCCTCTCATTTCTCGAAGACGCCCTTCTCTCTTTCTCTCTCTCATGGCTCTTCTGCTGTAGCCGTCGCCAAAATAATACTCAAATTAACTTGCTTGAGTACAGACTACTCATTGCATCGACTCGACTTCCTATAGTAGGGTTTCTATTAAAGATTTCAACTTAACAGAGAGATGCATGTGGTTACGCCTCCTACGCAGCGCACCGATCCGTTATCCGGATCCACAAACGGGTCTGGTGATCTCCGAATTTACCAGACTTGGAAAGGAAGCAACGTGAGTTCATCCTAGTTCTACTTTCTATCAACCCTCTCTAATTCATCAGCGATGCTATTAATTAAGGATTTTTTGTTTAATAATTTCTCCTTTAATGGTTCTTAATACACATACCTTTAATTAGAATTTGTGGCTCTAGGCATAAGCATATTTTTTATTCAAGTTGCTTAAAGGAAATACTTATTATACGGAAAAGAGGAAAAAGAAGAAATTTAATATCATTCCATTTCATGTACTATTTTGGTCAAGTTGATTTGTTACTCTATGAGGTGTTTCGGAATTTATTGTTGACAAGAAAGTAGTTTTCTAAGTGCCAATTTTTTAGAATGGGGTATTTGAAGGATGGTGATTGGTTTTTAATTCTCATTCCTCCTGATTGATTCGTAAAAGCTTGCATCCGCATAGCCCAGCAGTCGAGGTAGTAAGTTGACATCTGCAAATTAATGCAGTTGCTTTGGTTTTGTAAACACAAATGTTCTACATCAGATGCTAATTTACTTTGAAACTACTGCAGTTAATAAATCATGGTTTGTGTGAATTTGTTAGACTGTTTTCTTGTCTTGTGTCCAAACTAGATTGGGCTTTGGTTGGGTTCCTTTTATTACCCTTTTAATTATTTAATTTTTAAGGAACATTATTGTTTACTGAAAAAAGTCAAGACATGGATTATGCAAGTTATGAAGTTTGAAAATTTCTTTTCCTGATGGTATTATAAAAATATCTAGGAAAGAAAAGAAATATGTATGATGAAAATTTTATTTGATTTAGCCATTTATGGAGATTGTGAATGTCTTGAAATATAAATTGATAACGTTAATGCTAGTTATTTTTGTTAAGTTTTTAATTGATTGCTTGTTTTCTGGAACAGAAATTTTTTCTCCAGGGAAGGTTTATATTTGGGCCGGATGTGAGGTCACTAGCGCTCAGTATTTTCCTAATTGTGGCTCCTGTCGCTGTGTTTTGTGTATTTGTTGCTAGAAAGCTGGTGGATGATTTTTCGCATCACTGGGGAATATCAATAATGGTTATTGCTGTTGTTTTCACGTTTTACGTATGCTCTCTCTCTCTCTCTCTCTCTCTCTCTCTCTCTCTCTATTATTTTCCTAATTGTGGCTCCTGTCGCTGTGTTTTGTGTATTTGTTGCTAGAAAGCTGGTGGATGATTTTTCGCATCACTGGGGAATATCAATAATGGTTATTGCTGTTGTTTTCACGTTTTACGTATGCTCTCTCTCTCTCTCTCTCTCTCTCTCTCTCTCTCTCTCTCTCTCTCTCTCTCTCTCATGTGGCAACTTGGTGCACTTGAGAACATTTTTTTTTTTTTTTTGGGAAATGTGTGTATTGTGTGCTTATTTAACTTAGAATATCTGCAAGGAAGATTAGAGTCGGAACATTGATTAGAAACAACAATGATGAACTCAAAGTTTGGCTAGTTTTATGAGCTGGTAAACTGGAAAACATATGAACATTTTTAATTTTTTTTTTTTTTCAAAAACTTAATAAAGATGGCGGAATGACTTTGTCTTAGTAGCTTTTCCTTGTTGTATGGCATTATCATTGCAAATAGGCCTTCTGGAGAAAAATTATATGGTGGGTTCTGGAGGGCTTCAATGGGTTATATGAAATAAATTAATTTTGCATTAACCGAATATTCACCTTCATTCATTAAAGCAAGGAAATTTTGCTATGCTACTAAATTTGATGGATAATTTACTCTGAAATATGGAAGCTGTTGCATTGAAACAGTATTTATTGGGTTCGTATTCGTGCTTTCTTTGGCCTAAATTGTTTGTGAATCATCATTCAGACATGAACTGTTCTAATTCAGGGATCAGTTAAGCCTTCATATTGATGTCATCTAGTCATACTGGAAGTGTTTGACAAGATAAAGGACATATCTACTAGGTTGAAACTCTCCACTGACTTTGCTTGCCTTTTGCTTCTTTGCTGCTTTTCTAGCATTCAGCATTCTCACTCAGGATCTTGCTTCTTTACAGAATACTTGACATTTTACATGTAGTACATGAAATGGCTTTATATTAGGATCAATAGGTAGTGGTAACTAGGATGTGCTCTTGTTTTATATGGCACATAAAAGAATCTTGATGCAAGACTTCTTGTTGATTATTTCTGGATGCCAAATTGTCAATTGTATGCTTTTGTTGAATTTTCAGGATTTAATACTTCTCCTGCTAACTTCCGGAAGAGATCCGGGTATAATTCCTCGTAATGCACATCCCCCAGAACCTGAAGGCTATGAAGGGAATGCAGAAGGTGCACAAACCCCCCAGTTACGTTTGCCACGAATTAAGGAAGTTGATGTGAATGGGATTACTGTGAAGATTAAGTACTGCGACACCTGCATGCTTTACAGACCTCCCCGCTGCTCCCACTGTTCAATATGCAATAACTGTGTTGAGAGATTTGATCATCACTGCCCTTGGGTTGGTCAGTGCATTGGACTGGTGAGATACGCATTTTCTTAAAAGCATTGACATGCATTGTTCAAGGATTACCATGAGATAGAGATTTTCACTGTTTCATCCAAGTTGAATCGATTTTAGACTATCACCATTAAAAAGACAAGTTGACACAAGTAAAGCAATTTCTCTCCCTCAAATGGATATCTGAAATATTCTTTGATGTGGAATGATGTCTGCAGATGATTGACTACATAATTAGATTTTGATTGCTGTGAATCATTTTTATGATAAATAATTGCTAAGTTTGATTATAAAGATGACTTTTGTATTTTACCAAAACTTGTAGGCGTAAAAATGTATTAAACCTCGACGATACAGCTTTGATCTCTTAATTGACACTCCCTCTAATTGGTTTTCTTGACTTGGCTTTTACTGGCAAACAGATGACTTCTGGTGTGCAGTTTCTTAAATATAACTATTGTTCGAGGGAAAAACCAGTGTGGTTAGAAATTTATTGTGAAATACTACCATTTGAAACTTTTTTTTTCCCCCAGAAAATGAAAGGTTAAATAATCGATACAAGATATATTTTTTTGATGAACCAACCACCACTTGTTTCTGAAAGTCAAACCCAAGTAGTTCAATTATGGATGGAGGAAAAGGCAAGGCATGGCATGCTGGTATGTTCATTTATCCATAAGTGAGATTGCAAAAACCCAAATCAATCTTGCTCAAGTAAAAGAGCATCACAGTAGGTTTTCTATCTGAAGCATGCAGTTCCAGTACCTTTGTTTTGCCAAATTTCTGGTTAAATATTTCCTAGTATATGAAATTCCCATCAAATTGACTAGGAGGACTTGCACTTTATCCGTGTTGGCTAGAATAGATTTTCATTGTTGTAATGTTAGATATACAAACATAATCCTTGTTGTGTTTGTAAATAATTTCTGGGTTAAAACCACCATTAGGTTATTGACTTGATTAACACTGTTTAGAACGGGATATCCATATATTGCTAATTGCTTTTGACAGTATCAAGGTACTACTGATGACTCGTGGTTTGTAAATGCAAGTGGACATTGCAGTCTAAATCTTTGACGGCTTTGGTTGCAGAGGAATTACCGGTTCTTCTTCATGTTTGTGTTCTCGACGACTCTACTTTGTATATATATTTTTGGTTTCTGCTGGGTTTACATTAAAAGGATCATGGATTATGAGGAGACATCAATATGGAAAGCACTGATCAAGACCCCTGCTTCCATCGTACTAGTTGTCTACACCTTTATATCAGTTTGGTTTGTTGGTGGTCTCACTGCATTTCATCTGTATCTCATCAGTACAAATCAGGCAAGAGCTGATCTTTTCATTTAAACTCGGTATCTGAATATTTTTATAATTTGTTGCTAGTTTCTTTAATTATTTCCCCCCCCTAAATGTTAAGAAAACTGTGCTTTCACTCTGAATAATGAAAGCCGTTTTCATGCTGATTGCAGACGACATATGAGAACTTCAGATATAGATATGATCGGCGTGCCAATCCCTATAACAAAGGAGTTATTGAGAACTTCAAGGAGGTACTATGCAGCCCTAATCCTCCATCTAAGAACAAGTTTAGGGCAAAGGTCCCCGCGGAATCTGATGTACCTGCCCGAACTGTCAGCGGGGGTTTCGTTAGTCCGAATATGGGGAAAGCTGCAGATGAGATTGAGATGGGAAGGAAGGCAGTTTGGGGAGATGTTGGTCCAGTGTTAGATCATCATGAAGGGCGATTTTCTGACAATGAGGGCTTAAACAGCAAAGATGGTGGGTTAGGTGAAATGTCGCCAGAGATAAGGACTACAGTAGATGAGGGTGATCGTGCTGGAATACATACTAGGCCATCCAGTTGGAGAAGGAAAAGTGGAAGCTGGGAAATGTCACCTGAGGTTCTGGCTTTGGCATCTAGAATGGGTGAACCAAACCGAACAGGTGGCGGTGGGAGCAGCAGCATCTCTCGACCATCAGAACCAAAATTGTAACAAACGGTCTAGTTTTATATTCTGAAGAATCCTTTTGTTGGTGTTGGCATGATGTTAAAGTCTGATTTGTGATGATTAAACTTATAGGGTGTTGTGCAAATGCAGTATGAGGGATTTGCTTTGACGATGTTTGAAGTGTTAAGAAGAAACATTTGGGTGCTATATGGGGGTTGCTTTGTTATTTCTTCATATTCTGCGTTGTATGTTGGAATTAGTTAGTGTTGAAATAGTGGATCCAATGGGTTAATTAATTACTCTCTCTCTCTCTTAAAAGGACTTGTATTGACTATAGTTAATGCTCCAATGTCTTTAAATTGTCCTCCTTACATTTGTGTCTTCCAAACAGCTAAAAGTCACCTGCTAGGAGTGCTATCGATGATTAGATTTTGATCCGAATTCAACCTGAATTCGATGAAATTAACGGATATGAATTTAGGACATTAGTCCGATAACCCGATCAAGATCTGAATTCAATAATCTATTAATTAAATGAAGTAAATATGAATATAGGTCAATTCGGTTCGATAACAATCCGATTCAATTTATTATAATAATATAATATATTTGATATATTATCGCATAATTTATTAAACATATATTTTTATTCTTTATTTTGAAATTTGTATTATACTTAAACATAATTTTCAAATAACTAATAATATTAGATAATAGTATAATGTTGTTAATTGAAATATATGACGAGATTTAATTTTTATTAATTGAAATAAGATAAAAATAATAATTAGTTTATTTTATAAATTAAACAACCAAAGAGGTCAACATTGGAATTGCTTTCATTATTTTTAACTTATCACTTCTCACATCGAACACTCACTAGAATATCATAAAATTTACAATATATAAATAGGTTGGTCAAGAATTGAGTAATAAGCTATCTAGGTCTTTTAATTCTAGGGTTAGAAGTTGACTAAAATTTTTATTTTTCTAATTTTTTTAATTCCAGATCGGGTTATCGAATCAGTTATTCAATAACACAACGGATCGGATATGGATTCAATAATCAAATATTCGTTGGATTATTGGATCGGATCGGATAAGATAATTTTCTTAACGGATCGGATTGGATTTGGACAGATTCGATCCATATCCGATTCATTTTATAGCCCTACCGGTTAGCTCTATTTTGCAAGGCCAATTATGTTACATGTACAATTCGTTTGAAAAATAAGGAGGTGACGTGCATTTTGGTTTTTGATTTGAATAGAGCCACATCATCTGTCAATAAAAGTGTAATCATCTGTACAAGTAGCTTAATTGTTTGCTGAGGTAAATCAAGTCGCCTGGAATGATACTTTTCAAATCAGGCTCCATAATTATTTCGGCTCGACACAACTCGGGCATGGCCTGTTTTCTTTTCTCTGTTAAGCTATTGGACCACTATCTGAATTCCTTATGGCGATTTCATTTTAGCCTGGCACATTTAGACCTCCGGGCTCTGATACTTTTTTGGGTTATGCTTGGGGTACTTCGGGGGGTCCAAAAGGATGTCTATCGACGCCTCGGGGGGTAATTCGGGGTGTCCAAAAGGATGTCCATCGGCGCCTCGGGGTTGGCCGAGGCACCTGCCACGCTGGGGTCCACAAGCGCCTCGGCCAACCCCGAGGTGCCGGGTGGACACCCTGGAGTACCAACAGCATTATCCTACTTTTTTAGGTGAGGAATATTCTCGTACGGATATCATCCTGTTCCGTATGGTTTTCCTCTTCCGTCCCAGGGTTGAGAATCCTTAAATAACCCGCAGAACATCACACTCCATTACAGACAGAGACAGACTACAAATAACAATAATTCCCTTTCCACCGTATCAAAATTCCTTCTCTCTTGCCCAGCAATGGCTCTCAAAGCCATTCACGTATCAGATGTCCCCTATCTTGATCAAGTCTACTCTACCCTTATCTCGAAAGGTACGTACAATTCTTTGTTACCTTGTGTGACCGGTTTTTCTTTAATTTTTATTATTAATATGAAATATATATATATATATATGAGATGAGCTACTCGACCCTTTTTGCCACTTCTATATATGACTAACAACTGGACTTCCACATCATTCTTCACTTCATCATTAATCATAACACAAACTAAAACACAGAATGAATGACGTGGATAACAAATATTTACTTTGTAACATATTAGGAAAAAATATATATATAGTACCACTAAAAATTTAAATGTTCTTTTAAATAAAGAAATATTTGTTTAAAATTATCATCATCATCAATATATCTTAAAACAGATTATATTTTATATATATATATATATATATATATATATATATTCAGGCGTGGAGGTCGGGACGGCATCATTTGAGGCTCCTAAATTCTTAGTGATTGGGATGAATATGTTGCAGTCGACGGATAGGAGAATGAAGGACGTCAAAGAGAATCAATACCATTCTCTCAGTCGATACTGTTGGGAATTATCCTGTTGATTTAGTTGAGTTTGACGTTCAGGTATACACATTTTTATTTCTTTGTTTGAAGAATGAATGAATCACTCACCCCGTAAAACTTGTATTTTTGTCTAAAGTCTATTGGGCCACTTTAAGCTGGCGGTGAGCTATTTCGTGGCCGCCGCGTATGTCACATTATTGTTTCTATCTGCACAAATAATAACAAGGGTAATTACCATCACAAAATTTAATAAGTGCACTATAATTTTTAACTTTTTTCTCATATACTTTTAATTATTCACACCACATACATAAACCAAATTAATTCTTCTTCTTTATCTTTCAAAAACTTGCATGTAATAACTTCCAAAAAAATTTCCAGCTTGAAGGTAATAATAATTTGTATATGTCATTGCACACAAAATCCGAAGGTTGGAGTCTGACAAGTGTCCATATATGAAATTAGAAATCAGTTTTTTTGTCGAAGAGATACAGACCCATTTCTTTAAAATTAAGTCTTCATCTCCTTCTTTATCTTTCCCTTCTTTAAAAAAAATAATATAATATTAATAATTAAGAAAAAATAGTGTGGATGAGAAGAAAAATCTTACCCATTTCTCTTGATAATGTTGACGAGAAGAGATGGGGAAGGTTTTCTACTTCTTTTCTTATCCAGTCCATATAAAGTAGTAATAGACTAGTGCTCTCTTCTTTGCAATGGATGCGTGCATCCTAGAAAAGCACCGAGTGGAAAGAAGCGTCTGTAAGAAAAGAAAAAGATGAAGTTTAATAGTCATGTATTTATTAGAATCTAGAATTCTTCTTTTATATTAAAAATCAGATATATTATTGTAAATTTGCTTGGGTGTATTTATTAAAGCTATGTTTTAATTGTGGTGTGAATATAATGGGGTGCACTTAATAAATTTTGTGGTGGTAATATAATTACCCTAATAATAATGATGATGATGATAAATTTATTGTTTTATCAATTTTACCCACTTGAAGACTGTTTTTTTTTTTTTGAAGAGAAGATATTTAATACAGCTGCCCAGTATCGCTTTTGTCTATATGGTTCATTGCGTCGTGATTTGATTCCAGGAAAATGTAATCGTATCCGTATGACCTTTTAACTTCTGCCCTTGTTTCTTTAATTTGGTAAATACTAATAATATTTATATTTTTTTTCCAATCGTTTTTCTTTCCTGTGATGGAATTGTTTATCTTGATATCAATTGCTATTGCATGAAATCTGAAAAGTAGTTCCTGTGCCTGGAGACGAGAGGCTTAGACTGGAAAAGTAAAACAAGAATGTGATTTTTGTAGGTGACCAGGGATGGTGTCCCTATCATTTTTTGCGACAACTTCATTTTCTCCCAACTCGCCCAAGAAAATGTAAGTTCCTTGTTCTCTTCTTGTTTTGATTTGGATGCCTCTGAAAATTGGAATAATATATAATCAGTGAATTTTTAAGGATACAGTATTTGAGGCGAGAGTCACAGAATTGCCTCTATCTGAATTCCTGAGTTATGGTCCACAGAAAGAAGCCGGAATGGTTGGGAAAAGATTGTTAAGAAAAACAAAAGATGGCAAAATTGTTGAATGGAGTGTTGAAACTGATGACTGTTTATGTACTTTACAAGAAGCCTTTCAGAAAGTAAACCCTTCTCTCGGTTTCAACATCAAATCGTTGTCTTCCAAAATGCAAAAAACTGACCAATTATATTTTCAACCTTCCAACCAGATGCTGCTCTGCTTGTCAAGAAACTCTAAAGCACCTATCCTGTAAGCTTGCTTGTTTTTACTGCAGTGTATTTCATTATCAATTGTTCTTATAAAAGAAAGTGATAATCAATAGTGAGTTTAACGAGGTAGATTATTGTTGACACCAGGTTTTCTTCTTGACAAATGGGGGAAACGAGATTTACTGTGATGTGAGAAGGAATTCTTTAGAGGCGGCCATAAAACTCTCGTTAGAAGGTGGTTTGCAAAGGATAGTTTCTGAAGTTAGGGGAATTCTTAGAAATCCAGGGACAGTGAAGAAGATCAAAGAATCAAAGCTCTCTCTTGACATATGGCAAATTGAAGTGAGTAGTTTGTAAACATTATCATATCTGCATTTCTTTTGTACTCCAGTTGATCATTTGATTTGTATTTTCTAGTAATGTGCTCGAGGCAGTGTATATGCAACATTTGATGGGGGTTGATGGAGTAATAATTGATTTGGTTCGTGAAATAACAGGGGGAGTTTTAAAAATGGTGAAGCCGTTTGAGGAGAAGATGTTACTGAAATTAGGAGAGGTACAAATTGAAGCAGAAGGTGTAACGGCTCGGATTTTAATTATATTTTCATATGGGCTAAATCAAATGTTGGTCATTTAGCTGATGAAACAGTCCATGCCGACCTTGTCGTCAAATTGAAGTCCAAAAGTTGAAGTGATAAACATGACTCACTTAATTGCATAAATGATTTATTTTGCATACGTATATTCTTTTGAATTCATCGTATGTTTTTTGGATCAAATATTTAAGTATTTTAAAAATTGATAAAAATACATCAGTATTATACTCATTTTGTAGCTCGTGTTAAATAACATAAATTGACTCAAAAAGAAATAATTTTGAACTAGTCATATTTGAGTTATCTTGATGGGAAGAAAGATATTCTAAATCCCATAATAATAATAATAATAATAATAATAATAATATTATTATTATTATTATTATTATTATTATTATTATTATTATTATTATATAATAGTGGAATGAAACAATGGAAATGTTATTGGAAATTTCAAACGTAAAATCAATCATTATTTTATTAATACACTTAATTAGTCTC